GGGGGGGAGGGGTCCAATTAATTTAGAAAACCTGTTAAAAAGGAAAAGACAGAAAAAAACAGGGCTTGCTGTGCATGTCGAACACAACAAAACCCAACCCAACTAGGGTTGTGAAGGGTCCTCAGGAGTTAAAGAGGGGGTGACTTTAGTGGATTTTATCTCAATATTTTAATATTTTTACGTCTCCTTTTAGAGCTTTAATTCTGGGAGCAGGTTTTTTTTTTTTTTTTCCCCTTCTCTTTTTACGCGGATCGCTGAAATGTGTGTATTATACAAACCGGGAATTGCACCCGGTGTCGCATATGAGAGCAGCGGCCTTGGACAACGTGCGAGGTATCTCCGGCCAAACTCAAAGTCCAGACTGAAAGTCGCCTGACAAGTGAAGAAATTCGCCGGAAATCGAAATCCAATGCACAAAGGAGAAAAATGATAAAAAATCAGAGTCGGGGAATGAAAACCCTCTCCATAAGTTGTTCCGTTTCTTTTAAGTTTTTTCTTGTTTTTTTTTTTTCTTACAGTGTCCGCACGTCACCCGGAAAAAAAAACGATATTTGACATCCGATCACCCACACCCAAAAAACAAAAAGAAGGAGAATCTGAGTTCAGGAGCTAGCCCTTGCTCAACTTCCACTTTAACCAGGTCCCGGGTGAGGTCCCACTAGCATAGGGAATTGGATTTAGTTTCGTGAATCTGGGCATGCTTTATGCAGAGATACAGAGAAGTCGGATCAACTGCGATTCTCTGCACATCTCAACAAACACGTCCAGATTCGGGCTTTAAAGCCCATTCGCTTTGCCAGTTGGGACCTCTTCCCTGGAAATGCTGCCCAGCTGCCAGCTTGAAAACCTGTTCACAAAAAAACTGTGTTGGAGGGTAAGTCCCTTGTGTTTGCCACTGGACTGTCTGACCCCAGTCCCTTCTCTGATCATTGGCTGACACGGAGCATGACCCCCGCCTCTGCTTGTGCGTGTCGACCCGAGGGGCAATTTTTTATTTTTTATTTGTATTGTTTACTAAAAGCCATATTTGTAAATAATGTTGTATAGAGAACAAAGAGCCATATTCAGGGGCCGGCAGGTCTCCATTCCTACTCTGTGAGGCGGAGCCCCTCCCCTGTATTATCCTATGTTGTTCTGCCTTGGGCACTGGGCCCTTACAAAAATAAATAAATAAATAATGTTGTATAACTTGTATTATTTTTCTAAGTTTTGTCTGTCTTTTAGACCACCAGTACTCGGGCCAGCAAACAGCCGGCCCGCGCGGTTCACCTTATTTTCCCCAACGCTTGGGGAGGCCGCGCACGGGGGGCGGCCCAGCTGTTTGCTGGCCCACCTTATTTTCCACATCTGAAGTCTTAAGGAGAAGTGGTGAGCATTGCCGGGCCGCCCTCCCCAAGTACCCAACCCCGTACGGGTTTAAGTTTTGTCTGTCTTTTAAACCACCAGTACTTGGGGACGGCGGCCCGGCAATGCTCACCACTTCTCCTTAAGACTTCAGATGACAGCAAACAGCAGCCTATTAGGATGGAATGAATATCTGACCCAAATTCCACGTCTCAGCGGTAATGCCTACCTCCCGCACGGCAGGGGTCAAAGACCCTGCAAACCCACCCACCTCCTCACAATTTAGGGAAAACCACTTCCTCTAATCTGCACCTTCTCACAAGGAAACCCCACTGCCCACCATAGTGACGTTCCTACAGAGCGGCACTCTCTCCTTCATTCTATCGCATGCAAAACGCTGTACCTATTCGTGGCAAATTTCCATAACCAAACCAAAAACTCACACCTAACCAACAACAACAATCCTACACAAACGA